TTCCTGCTTTATTTTACAGAGAAAGGGAGAAGATTCCAATGAGATGGAGCAGATCTCGATCATAGAGAGGTTCCCATATCCCTTCCAGGTGAGTCTCCTTCACCCCCAGCTCCTGCTGTACCTGACTCACTTTGCAGAAAAGGAGGCAATGAGGATAGTCAGTTTGCTATCCTGGGATCACACCACCAAAGGTTGTCATGTTTGGGTCCACTGATTGGACATGCATGGTGGTGTGATGTTCCTCCTTTCCCAGTGCTTGGGTAGGACAGGGGATGACAGGCCAGATGCCTGAGGCTCCATCCAGACGAGATGAGGATGATGCCCAGAGAGTACAGAGTACTGTTGAAAGGCTCACAGTCTGGAGTACTGTTGGTTCCATTGTGACTGTTTCCTACATGGATCAACACTGAACCAGGTTTTAGCAGTGTCCAGTGCAACTCACTGTCACTATTGTGCACAGAACTGTCCTGCAAGAACCATTAGAAACAATCACGAGGGCAGAACATAGCTGCCTGAGTGGTGGCAGTAGCTGCTGGGAGTCTGTGACACTGATGCCAGTGGTAGCACTGGCTTCCTGCTTGCTTCTAGGTGCAGGTCACACCTGGACACTGACCTGTGAAGTCTTTTAAGGCTCATCCAAGCAAGACCATCTCACTTCCTGCAGGCAGCTGGTCTGTTCTCACTCCCATCCCTGAGGCTGGAAGAGTAGATGGGTGATGGGAGCACATCCAACAGGGGCTGGCACTAGACTCATCTTGTCACAGGCTGTTGCCTAGCATGAGCCCCAGTGAGGAGCAATGGGAAGCTGTTTTTGCTCCCACCAGGCAGGATCCTGTCATGTTTATGGGGAGGAGGTAGAAATATTTCTATGTTAAATACTTTCTGATTACAATATGCAAAAGAAAACCTACCCTTATGGTGCTGTCAGCATGAACCCCATAGTTAAAGCACCAGTCAGGGATCTGGCTTCAGGTCTGGGCTTGGCTTCTTGCTCCAACACTGACTGGCTCTGTGACCTTTGGGTAAGTCACACAGCAGCTCCCTTCACCACCTATAAGAAAGCAAGCAACCAAGAAAGAAAGAAAAGATAAGCAGCTCTTGCTCTGACACACTGGTTAAGGCTGCCTATGTGTTTCCATTATGCAGGGTTGCAGACACAGTTTCTCAAAGCTTTTGGGCTCTGTCTGCAATCTCTGAGCCAGAGCCCAAGCAACACCATGTAAGTCCAGATCTGAGCTCCCCTCAGGTTCAAAGTCAAAGTTCTGGTTCTGCCCTTATGGGCTGAGGGGACAGCAACAATGTCTGAATCTCGAACCTCCTCCAAAGCATGGGATGCTCAGATCTGGGGGTGAGCTGCAGGCCCACCTTTGCTATTTGGCTATCTGGCCATCTACCTGCATACAGTGTTATCCTGTTGCTAGTTCTAGACACCTGAAGACATTTTGATCTTCATAAGCCTGATCTCTGTCTGAACTTCCCCATCCACTGCCACCTTAGCCCACCTCTGATCCAGTCATAAACTGGAACTGAGCACTTTGGGCTCCCTACCTACTCTGCTTGCCTGGGCCCCATATGGTGAACAAATCAGCCCCCAAACTATTGAAAGTCAGAGAAGGAAGTGGAAAGTCTCAGGGGAGGGGGCTTATTTATAACCTCTTAGTCACAGTCTCATAAGCACAGTAAAGGAGCTGGAACAAAATTAAAAGAGTTATGCTCTGCAATCAGAAGTTAAAGGTGTCCAGCAGTCCCCACCTATCTCCCATACAGAAATCCCAGGCCCTACTGTAGAGAGGTTCAGTCTGTCTGTCCCTCAGGTGGTGTATGATGAAGGACCCCTCTATATCTTCTCACCAACAGAGGAGTTACGCAAGCGCTGGATCCACCAGCTGAAGAGTGGTGAGTCTCTGATTTTTGAAGTTAACCCTTTTTAAAGTTCAACTAGAACAAGGCAGGAGCTGTAATTCAAGCCAAATCCTCTTTGCAACAGCTGGAGCAATGACATCAACTTCAGGCTATAATAATTTGATTAGAGCTGGAAACATATTGCCATGACTCAATGTAGAAGGGCTGCAGCTCTTACGGCTTATTTAAATCTGATGGATCTGTTGGGGTGTGTGTCTCAGTGTGCTTGTGTATATATATATATCTGTGGCTTCATATGCATGTGGAGAGATTAGCTAGTTGAATTGACACAGGGAAGTCTCCTTATGCAGGCAGGAAGGATGGCAACCTGATAACGGGGAAGTCAGTTGTTGCATGACAACCCCTATCTTCTTAAACAAGACATTCAAGCAACTTTGTCTTTGTCTTTGTCTTCACTGCTAGAAGTGCTGTCTATACAGCAGATTTACTGAGCTCACTAGCTGCCTCCCTTTGAAACACTTAAAGAGGCAAAGCACAGTGTTTTTACCCTGAGTAAATGAGAAAAAGTCAACCATAGGAAACGGTGTGGTGCTGACCTGGCCTACCCACTTCATGGCGGGCACCTCTGGTGTTTTCCCATCTTAAATCCTCTGAGATTTTATGGCAAGAGAAATATTTCCTCAGTGTAAAATAGTCTCACCTTCTTGACAGTGAAGACCAAGCCAAGGCTTGTGGCTCAGGTGATGCTATTCTGTGTTCACACTGCGCTTGTCCTTTATCCTAAGCCTGTTCCCTCATGGAGCCAGCATGAAGTGCTGCAGTGACTGTAACTTCAGTTCACCGCCATGTTTAATCACTTCCTCAGCAGCCTCCACCTGAGTTTAGTCCAAAATAAGGCAACTCTGGTTGCTTATCAAGTGCCACACACTGTTCTGTTGTTCAGCAACATGTGTATCCTGATTCCATCCAGCTGAGGAAATGTCTCCTGTTAGGGGAGATTCCCTGCACATTATTGGGAGCTCCATGTGATATTTTGCTGTGCCACTAACACATCTGTGGTGACAGCAGTACACCTTAAATCTAGTAATAAGAATAGAAAGTGGCTTGGTATCTCTCCAGGGTTCCTGGCTGGACAGATCAAGAGAGAAATGTGGTTGGTAAGCAAGACACTCAGGGGCCCCAGGGATGAGTACAAGATACTCTCATGTTACTGAGAGTCAAGACAGGAGTGTAGATTGAAGAACTCAGGTGAACTACTGAGAATCCCTTCTTAGTGCTCCCAAAGCACAAGTGATAAGTATGGGGTGGGGGGAGCTCTTGCCCCTTGGATTGGTGGCAGTTCCCATGGGACAAATAGTCTCTCTCTTTCCTGCTGCAGTGATCCGCTACAACAGCGACCTGGTACAAAAGTACCACCCCTGCTTCTGGATTGATGGACAATACCTGTGCTGCTCTCAGACGGCCAAGAATGCCATGGGCTGCCAGGTCCTGGAGAGCAGGAACGGAAGTAAGAAACCAAGTGATACCTTGTCTTGGTTCCATTTCTCTGCATGTTGACTCCCCCTTCCATCTCTGGAATGCAGGCTCCAGCTCATCTTCCCAGCATCTCATCACTCATCAGTGTCTCATACCAATAACATTTTTCAGCTTTTTTTGTTTCATACTTTAAAGGTTTAAAAACTGGACGGTCTCATCGCAAGACAAAGAAGCCTCTTCCTCCAACGCCCGAGGAGGATCAGGTATGCAGAGAGCAGCTGGGACTTGCCTTTGGGCCAGGATGGCCTTTTCTCTTTAATGGCTGTGAGGCACTCAGGGCCAACTTACCCTATTCCAAAGCATTTAAGAACAGGTAATCCAGGGAAGGAGCAACAGATTTGCCCACCTACTGAGCATTAGTGAGGGTTGCTCTTATCTCAGACCCAGGAGAGACCTGCAGGGACACTGTCCTTTCACAGGACCCTGAAGCTCATTGGCCAAAGGGAAGTTGTGGAGAGCCTATCCCAAGGAGAGAATGAGTTTGAACCAAGGGACTTCCTTCGCTTCCTGTCACCTCAGCAATAACAATGGGCAGAGTGAAGTCCTACCTCTCATTCCATTTCTATAGTCTAGAGAATTTATCAAGTGTCCTACCACAGCTAGCCTTGGATCTACAACATCTGGGATCCCAAGGGATCTCCCATTCAAGAACTAGCCAGGCCCAGTCCCAGGCCCTTATCTGGAAGAAGGTCTTGCCAGGAAATTCAGAGGCCAGAGTGGGGCTGACAGACCTTCTCTGTTCAGTGGGAGCTAGGATTTGGGACAAAGCTGGAGCCTGAAGTCCTGAGATAAGGGTAAATGGAAAGAGAAAGAAGGGGCTGTGCCTAGAAGAGCCACAGGGGATCGGTATTTATTCCGTGAGAAGTTTGAGGGAGGAAAGATCTCTTAAAAGCTTCAGGGAGCATGTAAGTGCAATGAAGAAACAGGGAGGTAGGAACTGAAGCAAGAGGGATACTGTACCATATCATGAATTGCCCTGGCTTGAGAATGCACCTGGCCACAGAACTCTGTAACCTACTCAGCTTCAGAGGGTGATGCTCAGGGTCTTACTGTTTGATGCTTTTCCCCCTGGAAGATGATGATGAAGCCACTACCCCCTGAGCCAGCTCCCAGCATGCCAGGTGAAATGAAGAAGGTTGTGGCACTTTATGACTATGTGCCAATGAATGCACAGGACTTGCAGCTGCAGAAGGGGGAAGAGTACTTCATTCTGGAAGAAAGCGATATACCTTGGTGGAGAGCCCGGGACAGGAATGGGTAAGAACTCTGGCCTGGATTGTGACTGAGCCCCAGGCCAGCCAGGGTGTGCATACATGAGCAGAGTCCCAGAGCACAAATACTCAAGCATACCCTTGGACACAACTATATTTCCCACACATGGATGCACTCCTCTTCTGTGTGAATGTACCTCTCTCAGTTGCCACAGAACCAATGGGGAACTGTGTCCTCTCCCAACATCCCACTTACTGGGAACTTAACTGAAGCAGCTTTTAAACCCAGCTGACCAGGGCCAGTGCTGGAGTTGGGGCTTTCAGGCCACAATGGCTCTGTGCTAGTTCTGGGAAGGATCAGCAGATTTGACAGCCTACTGAGCATTAGCAAGAGGAGCAGGGAAGGGAAGGGCTGATAATGTACTTATCATGGTGTGAGAAGGAAGAGGCCTTCACTGGGATATCTGTGTAGGCCTTTATGCAGGCATTCTTCAAAGCCCATCACCATCACTGCAGAGGCTCACTAGTGTCTGCTCGATTTGAGCAAGTTCCCTAGTGCACGTCTTCCACCCCAGGATCTTGGCACAGGACTCCTCTTTCTTTCCTGAGCTCCTGCTCCTCCAGGACTGTTTAATAGGGTCTCTCTTCTCCTGCAGGAAAGAAGGTTACATCCCTAGCAATTATGTCACAGAGACCAGGGACTCTCTGGAAATGTTTGAGTGAGTATGAGAAGCTGTGGGATTAGCTGCTGGGGCTTGTTTAAACCTAGATTATTTTTTTTAACTTCTGAGCCCCTATGCCCCACACTGGGACAGGCTGGATCTGCCGCTTTCTCCCTCACAGCCATTCATACATGAAGAAACAGAGCCCAGACACTGTGTAGAGGTGAAGATGACAGTCTTCCCCACACAGGCTCTCTCCACTCCCAGTGACTGTCATGCCTGCCCCACAATGGCCCCTACTCTGATATCTCTCCCTGATTGCTACCATATTCTCACCTTCCAGGTGGTACTTGAAAAACATAACCCGGAGCCAAGCAGAGCAACTGCTGAAGCAAGAGGTGAGCTTGGGACATTAAGTGACTTAGTCCTGCAGGCCAGTCTGGGCTGTTATTGTATCCCTCTTGGCAGTACTGGGCTCCTGGAAGGGAACCAATGAGAGTATCTGCATAGTGACCTCCCTCTGCTTCTCCTCCTCCAACCTTGTCAGGTCCAGGCAAAGCTGTCATATGCTCATAAATGCAGTGAAGGGCCTTCACAGCTGGAAAGGCTCTAAGAGAAGGCCTGGGGTTGTCCTTAGTGACTGGTACAAATTCTGTAGTCATTAAAAGCATCCTGAGGCTTAACAGACCAGATCCTCATCTAGTGTAGATTGATGTTGCTCCATGGAAGTCACTGGAGTTACATCAGTTTTCACCAGTAGAAGATCTGGTCTAAGTTTTTTAAACAGCTGTATATAGCGGCAGCAGCTTTCCTTTGCAGCTGGCAGGAATATGGTTGAGTGCAAGAGAGTAGAAGCAGATAGATACTGAAAGGAAATGGTGGGAAAAGAGGGATCAACCCAGAAATTTGCATGAAAGGGTCTTACAACTGTGAAAGGCTCAGAGCACTGTGACCAGGACCAAGCATTCAATCCAAAGGCAAAGCAAAACTAACTCTCAAAATTCATCCCAACTTGACTGACACGGGATTGCCAGCACCTGGAAGAGCAGCCGTGCCCTGCCCACTAGCATTCTGATCAGCCATAGAGACGCTTCCAGGAAATGCCTCAATGGCAAGGACTTTGCTCCCTGTGGGATAGTGGTGATTCTGCTATCTCATCACACCTCATACTGGTAACCTATCCCCTTAATTCCACTCTGCAGGTCCCCACTTACTTTAACCCTTGCTCACGTCTCCACTGGCTATGCACAGGGGAGATGATCCCTACTGGATGCACATTATTGGATTCTTTGAGTCCATCCCTGTGCTCCTCACAGACATCCAGCCTCATCCTCTGTTCTGCATCTCACTGTTGTATATTTCAGGGGAAAGAAGGAGGTTTCATAGTGCGAGATTCCACCAGCAAGACAGGAAAATACACAGTCTCAGTATATACCAAGTCCTCTGGGTAAGTCATGTCTGAAGCTGCTTTCTTTTTGTTAGGCATAAAATAGCAGTCATGGTTTCTGTCTTGTTGCTACCCCCTCACTCCAGTGGCATTTCCAGACCTGTCTTACTCACTGGCTGTCACACTCTCTAGGCTCCCCCTAGAACCACTGACAGTACATATTGATTCTGCAGGGACCTGCAGGGAACAATCCGCCATTACGTGGTATGCTCCACACCCCAGAACCAGTATTACCTGGCAGAAAAGCACCTCTTCAACACCATTCCGGAGCTCATCACATACCATCAGCACAACTCTGCCGGTGAGTGACAGAGCCAGATCAAAGACAACCAACAGCTAAATACTAGTGCAAGTAGGCAACAAGAAAATACACAAGCAAAGCACACTTCAGTCAGGATCCCATACCTGACACACATCCTGCAATACACACACTGCTTCTATCTTCTCCTATAGAGGGAATCAAAGGGGAAGGAACTCTTTTCTATCAAGGTGACTTCTGCCAACAGGACAAGATGGAAAGTTGTCATGGTCTACTGGTTTATGGGGGGCCCTTCTGATGCCTTTCTCCAATCACTTCAGCCCAGCCCTTTCAAGATTTCTGAGTTACTCCCCCCACCCTGCATTATTGGTCAAGTCACCAAGCAGGACCACTGGCTCCACACCAGCAGAATGACACCTGCATGTTGTCCTACCCATGCTTGGCATCCCTCACTAGACCTGGTACCCTTCACTCTCCCTCAGCACCATAAGCCTTGCATGTTGTGGACCTCAACATCTGTCAGTCTACATTTCTATGTCATCCTCATAGCATTTCCCCCTCCCTCTCCAGAGCACAGACCTTTGGGAGACCACTGTCTTTTGATCTCCAGATTCTCTCCTTAGGCAAAAAGCCCAAACCCCAGCATTAGGACTCACTGCTATAGTGCTGCAGAGAACTCCTTACCTAGGCCATGATTTCCTTTACTACACACCCCAGTGGCTGCATCCAGATGAGCACAGCCATGCAATATGTGGCACTGCAGACATCTCTATGGCACCACATACCACATGTTCAGTCGTTTTCTACACTGTGGGGGAGCAGCGCAGAGGGGGTTTTGACCCCTGGATAAGGGGTCAAAAAACCATGGAGAAAAAAAGGTGGAGTGGTGCACATACAGGCAGCACACATCGCTCAAAAGCGGAGATGGGCTGCCTGGAGCTGCACTGCAGCAGAATCACCACTGCTGCAGCCCCAGGAGGCTCCCAGAACCCCAGGTAAGGCTGCTGGGGCCAGCCCAGTGCTGGCCCCAGCCTCCCCTACCCCACCCAGGGTAACTTGCTGCACACCACAGCACATGTGGCACGGTTGTTCCCCGGGGACAACTAGCAGCAGCGCAAGGTGCACTACCGCTAATTGTCCCCAGGAAACCAAATGTCCACAACACGTGTGAAGAACTTTGAATTCAAGCAGGCAGCAATTCAAAACTGAACAACAAACTCAAGTGATATGTGACAGTCATGAAAGATAAGTACAGGCACTTCCTCTGTTTGACATAGAAGCAGCTTATGGTATGTTTCCCCTCTCCTTGCAAATTAGGTCCCTACTTCTCAAGAACCCCGCGGGCACAAGTTACCCCCTCTCAAATAGACCACAGCAATTCAGAGGAGGTAGAACAAGCCAGATAAACCCAGGATGAAATTCTGCATCTACAGTACATGGAACAAATGTTGGGTCAAAAGCCCAAGCCTTTTGGAGGCTATGACAGGCCAGATGCCAGGAGACATGAGAGGACAGACAGAGCTGGGACACAAAGCAAGGACTGTAGCATTTTGCTGATGCAGGAATATTTGTGTCTTGTTCTGTTGATGTTCTTTTCCAAAGTGTTGGGGGCAGCTGTGGTATGATGCAGCTGACCATGTTACCTTCTCTTCTGTTTCAGGGCTTATATCCAGACTGAAATACCCAGTGTCTCAATACCGAAAAAATGCTCCTTCCACAGCTGGACTGGGCTATGGTAATGATTGCTCTTCCCCATTAACAGTGTGGGCTGATACTGTGTCTCCCTGTATCACTCCTGCACCTTTCCCTGCAGTGTTTTACTGGGACTGGGATACAAGGACTGTTCTGCTGCCACAGCTTGTTAACATCCCCTGAGGCAAGCCCTTGTGAACAGTAGGACTGGCCTCAGCAGGCACCTGCCTGCAGCCTTCCTTCAGCCTTTCTTCTGATGCATGATCCTGTCTCTTTGTTGTAGGGTCATGGGAGGTTGAGCCAAAGGATCTGACTTTTCTGAAAGAGCTGGGGACTGGGCAATTTGGAGTGGTAAAGTATGGGAAATGGAGAGGCCAATACGATGTGGCCATCAAGATGATCCGAGAAGGATCCATGTCAGAGGATGAGTTTATCGATGAAGCCAAAGTTATGATGTAAGTGGCAACAAATCATCTTTCTTTCCTCTGTCTTTTCTATAAACATACTTCATTTGGAATAGTTGTATCTGCAGAATTTCCTGGAGTGGGGTGGAATGGTGGGATTTAATCCTCTAAGTTCATTCACTTCTAGACATTCCCAGTACTGCCACCTCTATTAATACCTCTCCTGCCCTGGAGGGATCACTTGTCTTGAGGGGAAAGGGCATTGCCATCACTGAATTCCCACCCAACTTTGCCAGCATGGAATATCTGTTCTTGTCAGGTGTCCATCTCCATGTTGCAAGCTTTTCTGTACCCATTTGCTTTTTCTGCAGTACACATTTCCTCTGATTTCCCCATGCAGGGACTTGTCTCACGAGAAGCTGGTGCAGCTGTATGGGGTCTGTACCAAGCAACGACCCATCTTTATCATCACAGAATACATGGCCAACGGCTGCCTCTTGACCTACTTGCGGGAAAGCAGACAGAGGTTCCAGCCCTCTGAGTTGCTGGAGATGTGCAAGGACATCTGTGAGGCCATGGAGTATCTGGAGTCCAAGCAGTTCCTGCACCGAGATCTGGTAGGTCCTTAAAGAATATGAATGAGTGAGGGGCCTACATGTAATTTCATGAATGTCATAATGTCCTGGCCTCATCCCTTAGATCCAGTGCTAAAAAGATACGTTCTCACTGAGAAATTAATGGTCAGTCTTTGAGAACAAACAACAGGAAATGTTTGCTCCTGTTATCTGGGTATAGCAAGGTTTTGCACTGCTCTGATGTGGGAAGTCAGTTTCTGTGGCTGGGTTAGTTGATGTATGATCATATTTATAGTTACACAGATTAAAGATGGGGAAATCAGCTTCAAATCTCATGTGATGGAATTAGTTTATTGCTACAGTGGCCAGCAAGGAAATTCCTCTTAGTTATAGGTAAGTGTATGACTATGGTGTCTTCACCTGAAGAGCTCAGGGGATTGCAAACTAACAGACTGAATCAATATATCAAGTCCTATATATTACTTAAAATTGATTTGGTTCTTATGGTTTGGGTCCAGGTTATCATGGGCTTTTGAAAAGGGAATCACATAGTCTTCGCTGCAAACTCTCTCCATAACCTCCCTTTCCCTCCCAGAATATGTGCAACAAGTACCAAGCACCACACACAGAGACACTGAAGAAAGTACAAGATTTTGCAACCCGATTTTGCCCAGCTAGGTGTCCAGCATGAAGGCAGGCTCTGATTTCAGCCAAACAGCGAACACTGTCATTTCAACAAAATGGTGGAACGTGGGCTGTACTCTCTCTGTGTCAACGCAGTAGAAAATGGAAGGGATTCAAGACCTCATTTCTAAAGATGAATATCCTGCTTTGTTTGCAGTTTGTAGACACAATTCTTATGTAGCACATCTGCAGACAGACCATTTTTAAGTCTTAGCTTGGCAGTAATGCCATCCAAGGTGCCTGATCTGTTCTTGTTATAGTATTGCTGTTCAGTCCAGCGAATGGACTGAACTATGCCAGTGCTTTGAGATTGTTAGTGGCTTGGTAGCTCTTGTTAAAGACTGTGCTCTAGAAAATAGTTCCTCCAGGAACAGAGGACAACAGAGGGGCAAGTGGGAAGTAGGTAGCATAGCCAGTGCTGATCCTGTCTCCATCTCTCTGCCCACAGGCTGCTCGCAACTGTTTGGTGAATGACCAGGGGATTGTGAAAGTCTCTGATTTTGGCCTTTCCAGGTCAGTTTGCATACAAATGCCTGTCTCCTTCCCCTTCAAACTTCCTTTCCAACTTTTACCTTCCCATCTCTTCTCTACCCATCGCTCTTCCTCCTTTTTCTCAGTCTTCTTCCTGGTTCTCCATCTCTTACTTTGGTCTCTCCAACCCATTCGTCTGTCATATGTATTTTGCTCTTCCTTTACCTTGGCTCCTCATTCCCCCTTTCTGCTCTTATTTCCTAGATGGTCATATTTCTCCCTCTCATCCCCCCTTCTGTTTTGCCCTCTCCAATCCAAATCTCCCTATACTCCCTCCCATGTCTCCAGTCTGTCCCTTCTTCCCCTCCTTGGCCTACCCCATTGCTTTTCAGACAGGATTGGGAAAGGCTCATACGGCAGAGTAAGTGAATGAGAAAATAACAAGGCAACATCCCATAAGGTTTATTATCTATTGTAGGTATGTCCTAGATGATGAGTATACAAGCTCAGTGGGGTCCAAGTTTCCAGTGCGGTGGTCCCCCCCTGAAGTCCTGATGTACAGCAAGTTCAGCAGCAAGTCCGATGTCTGGTCTTTTGGTGAGTTCAGAGGCAGACTGTGGTAATTCCAAGAGCTGTTGTTGAGGGGAGTGTTGAATGGGGCTGGGATGAGAGCTAAAACTGCCAGCAGCAGTTCCAGCTGTGATCCTTTCTGCCCTGTGAACCAGCCGAACCCACTTCTGTTTGACAGGCGTTCTGATGTGGGAGGTTTACTCCCTGGGGAAGATGCCGTATGAGAGGTTCAACAACACCGAGACAACGGAACACGTCATCCAGGGGCTGCGCCTCTATCGGCCTCAGCAGGCCTCAGAAAGGGTCTATGCCATCATGTACAGCTGCTGGCATGAGGTAGGCTTCCTCCCAGCACTGTGCGTCCCAGGGACTGGTGCCTATTGCAGGGCGCCTCCCTCATGCTCTGCCCAACCTCTAGCGCCACTGCTGCTTGGGCTCGGTCTGCCTGTAGGTCCCACCTCAACTGCCACAACAGCGAGGGCTGGGGACAGGCATCTGCCACCGCAGCGAGCACTGCTAGAGACTCCGCGTAGGGACGCTCACCCGTGCGTGCCTGATGTGGCGGCTCCTCCTTTCATTGCAGAAAGCAGAGGAGCGCCCAACCTTCCGTGTCCTCTTGGGAAACATCCTGGACCTCAGGGACGAGGAGCCCTGAGATACTGCCCTCGCACCTCTGCCACCGCCCGACAGACGCTGGAGCTTCTCGAAGGGGCCGAGAAGGAGCCGCGGCGCTCGCTGGGACGCCTTTGCCAGGAGTTTCCTTAGGGGTGGCGGGCCGCTCCGCGCGGTCGGACAGGGCGGTGCTGCCCCGCGGGTGCACGGGGCCTGGCACGACGGGCAGCCGGGGCCCCGCGGGGCGGGGAAGGGCGGGGCTCGAGAGCTTTGTAATAAAACAAACT